CCAACTCGCTCATGCGCCACGGCCGCAACAGCGGCAAGAAGCTCATGGCGAACCGCATCATCCGCCACACTCTGGAGATCATCCACCTCCTCACGGACCAGAACCCGTTGCAGGTCGTCGTCGACGCCGTCATCAACGCCGGTCCCCGTGAAGACTCGACGCGCGTCGGCTCGGCCGGTGTCGTCCGTCGCCAGGGTGTCGATGTTTCGCCCTTCCGCCGCGTCAACCAGGCCCTCTACTTGTTGACCACGGGTGCCCGCGAAGCCTCGTTCCGCAACGTCAAGACCATCGCCGAATGCTTGGCCGATGAGTTGATCAACGCCGCCAAGGGCTCGTCCAACTCGTACGCGATCAAGAAGAAGGACGAAGTCGAGCGCGTCGCCAAGGCCAACCGGTAAATGGACTCAATACGCTCTTGGGCGTGGCTGTGGCGTGGCCGCTTTGGTCTCTGGTAACAGAAGCCGTCGCGAGCTACTACTAGGAAATGAAAGCTCATGCAACGAATGCCATCGTGTGTGTGTGTTCCACTTGTCGTCTCCAGCGTTCAATTTGGACTACTTGAAGCAGTCGTTGGCGTAGTCTAGTCGGTCGTCGTTTGGTGTGCTCGGACTGTCTGAGCGCCAGCTCGTCAAGCGGCCTCAATGCGCTCGACAAGCGGGCTCCATCCTGTCTCAATCGCTTGGATATGTTGGCTGATCATTCGAGCCGACCCATTCTTACGAGATCCTCTGCCCAACGTGCTTGACAACATGCTGGCTGCGTCGTCTTGGCAGCACCTTGTATAGAGCTCCATCGAGCGGACGGCCATGCAGGGACGGCACTTGATGGCTGCGAACGAGACCAGCGCCGTGGCTCGCGCAGGGTTGACGCCGCTCGACTACTGCACACTGGCGTTTGAGGACGTTGCCCCTTCTACCCAAAACACAGCACCCGACGTGGTATAACAATGTGGACACGGTGTCTCTCTTCGACGCCATGCGGCCAGCTGCAAGACTCTTGTGCTGAGGTGCGTTTTGTGCCGGGTCCTTCCTTGCTATCTGCACAGCGCAGTGTACTCCGACAGCTCTTCGGCGCGGCAGCTCTGTGACTGGACAGCCGCCGACGTCGGAGCGGTCGCTAAAATGTCTGCTCCTCGGTATTTCGCGCCAGCTTCAAACGACGAGCGCCTCTCCATGTAGTCGAGCTTGGCGGGGAATGATTCGCGGCCACATCTACCAACGATCTGGTCGTCTGCGCGATGCGAGCGTGCTTGGCTCGGGTTGATGTTGCGGCCGGGTCTGATAATGATTATGCAGCAGCAGGACTATTGTAACCACTCGACGTGGCCGCTCCAGCGTCGTGCTCTGGGCGATCTCAGAGCCTTGCGTATTCCAGATCTTATCTCGCCAAGCAAGGCGGCGGTCATCGGCTGGCCCACGCACAGCAGTGGCGTCTTCTGCTTGGATTTATATCATGTTGCGTGTTGCCAAAAACGGCCGCAGTAACTTGTTCTCGATCTATCAACGTATCAACGTACATAAAAGGAGCAACAAATCGCGCCGTCCATTTTACGGGGCATCTCTCATTCCACTTGATGATCATCGATGTGGTGTTCGATACTACTAGTACCGGTAGTAAGAATGCTGCTTGTCCAGAGAGACGCGTTGCATCATGGATTCGACGTCATCAACGACACCTGTCCCTTCATATCTGCACGCGTGCCGTCACCAGCACTCCGCCATGTAGCTCGTTGCGACGCGCTCCAGATTGTTCTGGATGACATATTTGAAACCAGACAACACCGTGACCGGACTATCAACAAGGTGCGCTTCATGCCGATGTAGCGATCCCTTTCACCAGCTACTGTTTCGTGGCGCCAAAACTACTGCGTTGATGCTCGCAATGAGCCGTAAATTTATATCTATCTATCTATCTATCTATCTATCTATCACTCAACTTATCCATCCACATTTCTGTCTACCCGTACACGACTATTCCTGTGACTTCCTACTCAAGTCCCAGACACTCCTTCCGTTTTCGTTCCACCGAAATACCATACAACACACACTTTACAACTCATTGAGATGGATTTCAACGCATTATTTGACAGCAGGCGACGACTGACTTACATGCAAGGCTGGCTCAAGACGCGCTTACGGGCACCACACAAACGACGAGAACTTGAGGCAGTCCTCCTTGCCGTAGTTGACCACTTGGTGCGTGAGCGGCCAAAAGCACACATTGCGGTTGCCCTCGCACTTGTCGCTTGGCGACGCCGTCGTCGGTGTCGGGTTGGTGGTCACCGGTGTCGGGTTGGTGGTCACGGGCGACGGGTTGGTGGTCACGGGCGACGGGTTGGTGGTCACTGGCGTCGGGGTGGTCGTGACGGGACTCGCACTCGTCGGCGCCGGCGTCGATCCGTTGCGAATGTTGTCGTACTTGGACGTCGGGTACTTGAGGTTGTTGGGCGAGA